CAGTATCGAAATATATTGGGAGATATCGTATCGTGACCCCTCTGTCATGAAATGTATCGTATCGCCAAATTCTTGCCAATACACAGCCCTATAAAATATATTTTTAAAATTTACAAACCTAAACGTCCTAAAGTATTTTTACAGTCTTTAATTTACAGTTAAAATAAATGTTTATCAAATAAAYTCTAATGTTACAACTAATCCTGGAACCCTGTAAAACATAAGCGTCAAACTTACAGCCTGCGGGCCAAATCTGGCCCTCGGTAATATTTTGTCCAGCCCCCCAAAAAAAGGATTTTAATTGTGAAATAGTTTTTATCACTGTGTTTAGAAAAGTTCGCCAACTTCAAGACAGAACAACAGAATCAACATTSATCCTTTTTTTCTATATTCTCTTCATATTTTAGTCCAATATTTAGATTTTTTGTTTCTGCTTTCTGTTTTTAGCTGATTGGCTGGAGTGTGATAAGACGAGTCTTTCTAAATTTAAAGATTTTTCTTTATCTGTTACGTTATGTTTGTTCTAAATGTTACAGAATATATAACAATACAAACACGTAAGAGGTACTTAACAGTGGTGGGCACTGCTATCCAAAAAGTTAGCTTAGCTAACTCATAATTGCTAACTAAAAATGTAGCTTTGCTAACGCTAAATSGCTAAATGTAAAAGAATTACCAGAAGCTAAGGCTAAACAGCTAAACAAGGAAAAATTAGCAGACAATAAGGCTAAAAAGAAACAAATAAAATTAGCCAAAGAGAACACTAATGCTAACCGCTAACCACTGGGACCAGTGTCCCTCAGTCTCAGATCTCTTTCCAGCTGAAGACTGGTGGGACTGATACAAACCAGTTGATGTTAGCTTGTTAGTTAGCTGTTAAATTTGGCAAAATCAAATTTAGCGTAAGCTAACTGGTTAGCTTACGTTTTTTCAAAGTTAGTAAAAAGCTAATCTGCTAAACAAAAACCTATTTCCGTAATTAGCTGTTAGCTCATTAGCAAAGCTATGCCCATCACTAAAAATTAGTGTTTCTATATAAATAATTTGTTATTAAGGATTTTGGACTCAGTTTTGGCCCCCGTCTGTAAGTTTGACCCCCCGGCCCTAAAAGCTTAAACCTAACTAGTTAATTGTGAACTCACTGGCTGCTAACGAGCTTCTCTCGTATGGTGGAGAAGTCCATGGGTTTCTTGATGACCTTCTTGTAGCCGGGGACAGATTTCAGGTTGACGGGGGAGAGGAAGGGCCAGGCGTCCTGGTGTCGCTCCAACTCGGCCAGCAGAACCCTGAAAACAGACAAGAACACGGAGATGTTTGTTTGATTTGTTACACACTTTAAAAAAAGGTTGCATATYTAAGGCTTTACGCAGACAGGAAGTCTGAGCTCTCGCCTGCACAGTCCCAGGTCCCTGTTGTTGTCCCTCGCCGTCTTGGCTCTCTTCACACACACGGGACTTTCCTGATTGGCCGGTGTCGGKGCGGGGGAGCTGTCTTCTGTCTTCCTCTTCCTGCTGGTGTCTTTTGAGAGTTTTTTTGGCGTGCTGCCAGCGCTGGCTGAGTCCTCCTCCGACACTTCACCGTTACCCGTCTGCTTCCCGCTCTTCTTGGCCTCCGAGCCTTTCTTACCGCCTGCAGCTGTCGAAGCTACGGGTTTAGCCGGAGGCTTTTTGCTCTTTGGGGACGAACCGCTGGCCTGAGAAATAAAATAACAAAAGGTTACCTGAAGTTCAGGACAATTCAAACGGGTACTGTATGTAGTACAAGTACACGGAAGTGATTACAAGTATTTTCTATGTAGCGATGTATAATACAGCTGAATAAATACCAGTTATCCAGTATAAAAACGGATATTTATTGGTTAAATACCAGGTACATATCCGGTAAGTAGCAGGTACATATCTAATAGGTACTCTGTAAGTATATATATATATATATATATATATATGTTTATAAAATATGTACTCTGTAGGTAGCAGGTACACAGGGTTATTTTATGTATTTTTAACAACACATGGTGTTTTGTGTGACAGAGGTAAAATAAGTTCTGGTACCGTGGAAATGCAGGCCGGGCAGTACCAGTCTCCTTCAGGGATGCTGGTGATTTTGGGTTTGTGACAGTAGGTGTGGCAGCCTTTATCACAGCCGTCACACAACAGGAGGAGGTCCTCGTTGTCCCCCTTTTTGCACATCTGACAGTACTGAGAGAAAACCCACATCATCAGACTCTTCTTTACAGAACCTGGTTTTACTCAGTCAGAACCTTTCTTACCACTTTCATGATGGAGCGCTCCCAGGCGATGGACTTCTGRAGCTGCTGGATGCACATGGCCAGCTGGGCGGCGCTACGCACCTCGCTCAGGGCCTTCCTCCAGACCTTCATCCCATGGGCCACCTCTTCCTCACCACTGAGAAGACAAGACGATGAGAACCTAGAAGGCCACTCTTATCCACAAACGGTTGGTATCAGTTGAAAAAAAGGTGCCAGAGAGAAGTTTCAGCTGTGCAGAGACAGGCATGAGGATTCAGGGAGGTGCCGAGGGGGAGGAGCTACACACCGGCTGTTTCACAGGAAAAAGGTGGGGGGAGGGGAGGGGATGCTCATGCAGATAGCATAAGTCTGAACTGTTAGAGGCCGAAGTTACAGATCCACAACACCATGCACATGACCAGGAAACAAATCAAACAATGACTGCAGGAAATGACCCTGCCACTCAAAACAACAAACAAACAAACAAACAAACAAACAAACAAACAGTGAATCAATCAAAATAAAAACCCCAAAACAAAGAAACACAGGAGCGACAAACCAACACCAAATACTCCAAAGAAAAGAACAAACACCTTTGTTTTTATTTTGTTGTTGTGTGAATGCTGAGTCAGCATTCACACTGTTCACACCTGCCACTACGTTTCTGTACTTTGTGTTATTTTAGCCTTGAATAAAAACGATCGGAGCTAAAACTTAGTTTTTATTGTTTTTAGACTGTTCAACTTTTTAAAAATCAAATTAATAAAAAACACAAACATTTATTTCAAAATCCTTCACTAAGTAATCTTCTCTAGCTGCTTTTTGTTAACTTTAGCTACTTTTATTTTCRATTCTGCTTGTTCAGCTATCATTTTACTAATTTTAGAAAGCTTTATTTATTTAGGTTTGGCTACTGTTTTGAATGTTTTAGCTGCTGTTTTGCTAATTTTAGTTTTGCTAACTTTAGCTACAGTTGTGCTAATTTTAGCCATTGTTCCACTCTATCTTTCAGCTATTATTCTGATGCTTTTAGTTTTTTAGGTTGTCAGCTCTTCTCTTCTGTCTTCATTTTAGCTTCTGTTCTGCTCATTTCAGCTTTTGCTGACTCATTAAAGCCTAAGTTTAGCTCTTTTAGCTGCTGCTATGCTTCTTTTAGCATGTTATGTTCATTTCAGGGTTTGTTCTGTTTATTTTAGCTTCTATTTTGCTCATTTCAGCCTCTGTTTTGCTAATTTTAGCACCTGTTTCGATCAAATCATTCTTTGTTCGCTCATTTTAGCCCCTAGTCTGCTAATTTCAGCCACTGTGCAGGCCTTGGTTCAGCTCATGTTCTGTGCATTTTAGCTTTTGTTATGCTGATCTCAGCTCGTGTTCTGCTCATTTTATCTTCAGCTGTGCTCATTTCAGCTCATACTCTGCAAATTTTAGCTTCTGTTATGCTGATCTCAGCTCGTGTTCTGCTCATTTTAGCTCATATTTTGCTCATTTTGGCTTTTGTTTATATTTTAGTATTATCTGTTCACTTTGGCCTCTGTTATGCAACTGTTAGCTGTTGTTTAAACTGCTGTTTGATCATATTTTAGCTGTTTGATCATATTTTAGCTGTTTGATCATATTTTAGCTGTCATTCAGCACTCAGCATTCACACTGCATTTTGTCAGAAAATGCGACTTGTGAGTTTGCAGTAAAATGTAAAACATGAAGCACACAGATAGAGGGAGTGGTCTCAGTGGGACAGTGGGTGGAGCTTTGGTTGGAGAAATGACCTACCCTTCCCTGTCAGCACTAGTGGATGGGGCGGGGGCGGGGACAGTGACCGTACCCACATTATCCAGCCTGATCTGAATGGTGGTACCTAAGGGGCTCCTCAGGTACCTTCTCTCGATGTTGCGCTCCAGATCGGCCAGACGTGTCACCGCTATGTCCAGCGGGTTGTCCGGGTGACGCATCACCCCGCCCTTCTCCCCGCGCTCCTCCAGGTGCTCCCTGGAGTCCTTGTCTCCTGCGCTTCCTGATGCAGGTGTGCATTTAGGGAGGGGCTTGTGCTCGTAGTACACCAGGTCCTCGCGCTCAGACTGTGGGTCCGGATAGGTCCAGCCCTGAGAAGACAATAATCTGTTATCTCTTCAGATCAGTCTCAGTGACCGGAACCAGTCTTCTGATTGGTCTCAGTGACCAGAACCAGTCTTCTGATTGGTCTCAGCGACCGGGACCAGTCTTCTGATTGGTCCCAGCGACCGGGACCAGGACTAGTCTTCTGARTGGTTCCAGTGACCGGGACTAGTCTTCTGATTAGTCCCAGCGACCAGGACCAGTCTTCTCATTCGTCTCAGCGACCGGGACCAGTCTTCTCATTGGTCTCAGCAACCGGGACCAGTCTTCTCATTGGTCCCAGCGACCTGGACCAGTCTTCTGATTGGTCTCAGCGACCAGGACCAGTCTTCTCATCCGTCTCAGCGACCGGGACCAGTCTTCTCATTGGTCTCAGCGACCGGGACCAGTCTTCTCATTGGTCTCAGCGACCGGGACCAGTCTTCTCATTGGTCCCAGCGACCTGGACCAGTCTTTTGATTGGTCTCAGCGACCGGGACCAGGACCAGGACCAGGACCAGTCTTCTGATTGGTCTCAGCGACCGGGACCAGGACCAGTCTTCTGATTGGTCTCAGCGACCGGGACCAGGACTAGTCTTCTGATTGGTCCCAGTGACCGGGACCAGTCTTCTGATTGGTCCCAGCGACCAGGACCAGTCTTCTCATTGGTCTCAGCGACCGGGACCAGTCTTCTCATTGGTCTCAGCAACCGGTACCAGTCTTCTGATTGGTCCCAGTGACCGGGACCAGTCTTTTGGTTGGTCCCAGTGACCGGGACCAGTCTTTTGACTGGTCTCAGTGGTTAGAACCAGTCTTCTGATAGGTTCCAGGACCAGGAAGGACCAGTGTGGCTCTCTGGGACTCACCTTGACCTGCAGACTGGCTGCAGTGACTTTCCTCTCCAGCTCCTCCACCTGCTGCAGCATGGCGATGTCCATCTCCATGGCCTGCTCCTCCACACACCAGCCCCGCACCGACTCCACGCTCACCTGGCTCTCCTCCAGCTCCCTCAGCTCAATCATGGCCACTAGACGGGTGAAACGACAGCTGTCAATCACAGACATCAGCTGAAGGAAATCAAATGTGAACAAGAGAAATGCTGAGAGCTAAAAGGCTTTACTGAAGTTTGCTGAAAATAATGCTGAAACTGAATTTGTTAAAGCTAAAGGCTGGCTAAAAGCTYAAAGGAGTAAGAACCAAACTAAAAACTGAAAGATTAATCAAAACAACAAGTAGAAGCTAAAGAGATCTAAACAATAACTCAAAGCCAAAATGAGTAAACTGCTAGCTAGATGCTAAAAAGATTAAAACACTACCTAAAAGCAGCAAAATGCTATCTACAGTCGAAAATGATCAAAACATTAGCTTAAAGCTAAACATAGCAAAGCAGAAGCTAAAAGTAAAAAAGATTAAAACACTAATCTAAAGCTATAAAAACAACAGCTAAAAGGTGAACACTTGCTATAAACAAAAAGCTAAAAGTAACAAAACAACTTAAAGCTAAAATGAATATAATGGCTATGATCCAAAAGGAGCAAGAACACGCTAAAAGCTTTAAGTAACAAAACAACAGGCAAAAGTCAAAGATTAAAACATTAGCTAAAAGCAACAAAATGCTAGCTACAATCCAAAAAGATTAAAACACTAGCTAAAATCTAAAAGCAACAAAATGCTAGCTACAATCCAAAAAGTTCAAAACATTAGTTTAAAGCCAAAAGCAGCAAAGCATTAGCTCAGTCAAAAACACCAGTATTAAGCTAAAAGAAGCTGAACAATAGCTAAAAACCACTGAAAGCTGCAGGAACTCACCGTCTCTGTGTTTGGTGCAGACCTGAGGGATGATCTCCAGATATTTCTGCATCTGCCTGTGGAGACATTTCTCTCTGATTCCTCGGCTGTGGAGTGCCTCCACTAAAGACCTCAGCTGTTCCACGTGAGACACTCGCCACCAACCCGTCAGCATGTCTGAAACAGGAGCGCACACGCACGTCAGCTAGAACACGCTCCAACACGCTAAATACAGCTAAACCAAGCTAAAGGTGTTTCTGCACCTTATACTGACAAAAAATATCTTAGCTAAACTGAAGAATTACCTATTTTTGCTAAAATACAGTGTGGCTAAAACTGAACGGATCAAGCTAAAATGCTAAATAAAAGCTAAAAGCAGCAGAATTGTAAATAAAAAGTAAAACTAACTTTTACTATTCAGTAAAAGTAGCCAAAATGTAGCCAAAGCCAAAAGAAAAAACAAAAAGAAAGTAAAGGCTAAAATAATTAGCAGAATAGTAGCCAAAACTAAACTAAAGAATAAAATGAGCTAAATCAAAGCTAAAAACCAGCTGAAACGTAGATAAAAGGTAAAACTATTAGCCAGTACCTACACTGTAAATGTAGTTATGATGCTTAAACAGGAAAAATGAAGGCTAAAGGCTAAAAGGAGCAAAATGGAAGCTAAAAACATTAAGACAATGGGTAAAAGTAAAAAGAGCAGAAAGGTTGCCCAAAGGTGAAAAGAGAAAAATGGTAGCTAAAAGCTAAAAACAGCAAAACTATAACCAAACAATAAAAGTATTCGAAGAGTAGCTAAAAGCCAAAAGTAGCAAACTGTTAGCTGGGTGCTAAAGGGAATAAAAGGAGTAAAAAGTAGCAGGATAAAAAAAAGACACAGCGTTAAATCTTGTAAATTTGTTCAGCGTGTAGCCACCCACCCTCTGGGATGGGCCGAGGCGCCGTGTGGTCGAGGGACTTCGGCATCTCTAAAGCAGGCGAAGGCATGGAGGAGCTCTTCTCGATACGAGGCAACGGTGATTCGCTCTTACTGGAGACGCTCGCTGCCGTGTTTCCCTCCAGAGAGTGGCCCGGCACGGGGCTGGGGCTGCTGCACAGAGGCAGGCTGGGACTGATCACCCCGCTGGGCCAGCTGCCAAAGGACACGCCCAACAACGAGCCTCCAGACTTCAGCTGCGGACAAACAGAAGACACACAGCTAAAGAATTTAGCTGCTGAAATACAGAGATAGCTGAGCGCTGAATGAGTTTACTGAAAGCTGCTGAAGAAGATGAAACTGAAGCGTTACGGCTGAAAGAAGTTAAACACTAGCTAAAAGCTAAACATAACTAAAGGCTAGCCAAAATGATTAAAARGCTAACTACAAGCTAAAAGTAGCAGAAGACTAGCTAAAGGTTTAAAGTAGCAAAATACTGATAAAAGCTAAAAATAGAAAATGCCAGCTAAAATAAGTATAGTAGCAAAAGACTAACTAAAAGCTAAAAGTTTCAAGAAGCTAAATAAAAGCTAAATGTAGCAATAGATGCTAAATGTCAAAAAAATTTAGCTAAAAATGGCAAAAAGCTGTCTAAAAGCTAAAAGTTTTAAAGGTTAACCCTAAACAACTTACAACAAAAGTTACAAATAAGATGCTAAAATAAACCAATAGTAGCAAAACATCTAGCTGAAAGCTAAATGTAACAAACAGGTAGTTTAAAGCTAAAATTATCAAAACACCAGTTGAAAACTAAAAGTAGCAAAAGGCCAACTAAAAGCTATACATCGCAAAAAAAACTAGCAAAATGTCAAAATGCTAACAGAAGCAGAAAATASAAAAGTAGCAAAATGTCAGCTAAAAACAAATAGTTGTAAAAGGCTAATCAAAAGCTAAATGTAGCAATAGAAGCTAAATGTCTATAAAGGCTAGCTAAACATGGCAAAAGGCTATCTACAAGCCAAAAGTATCAAAAGGCTAACTAACAGCTGAATGTAGTAAAATGCCAGCCAAAATTTTAAAATAAACTGTGAACAGAAGCTAAAAAACAATAGTTGTTAAAGGAAATCTAAAAGATAAAAGCATCATAAGGCTAACTAACAGGTAAAAGTAGCAACAGTTAAGCCTAACTAACTAACTAACTAACTAACTAACTAACTAACTCAGTCACTCACTCACTCACTCACTCACTCACTCACTCACTCACTCACTAACCCTCAATGTCCAAAGTAACAAAACGCTAACAGAAGCTAAACGTAGCAGAACATGAGCTAAAGACTAAAATAAACAAAATGCTAGTTAACAGCTAAAAGAAGCTGCAGCAGAAGCTGAAGTCCGAGTCCAGCAGTCCCTGTGTGAGGGGTGGGGGACACCTTGGACAGGTGTCCACAGAGACAAAGGAGACAACACTCCCACCCGGGGACAGGTTTATGGCTCAGAACAGGCAGAAAAGACAACAAAGATGGCGGCGGCGGCGGTCTGACCTGCAGGGCGGACAGCGGGTAGTTGAGGAGGCCGGCCGGATGGTGGGGGCTGGTGGAGGCCGAGGCGGCGGAAGGCGTGAGAGGTAGCGCGGGGGACGGAGGCGGGGACCTGGGCCGGCCCGGGGTGGACGAGGCCTGAGGGGAGCCCCGGGGCACTCCCGGCGGCGTGACGGTGAGCGAGGCCAGGTCGCAGGGGTTCCGGGGGAGGAGACTGAACCAGTGTCCGCTCCGCTCCGTCAGGACCCGGAGCAGCTGGTCGCTGGCCTGGAAGGACAGCAGCGGGGACGGGGCGGGGGAGGACGTGGGCGGAGTGTCCCCGGGGCTGTGGCGTGGCGCCGGCAGGCAGGGGAAGGACAGCGAGGTGGAGGCCGGAGGCGGGATGTTAGTAGTGTTGTTGACGGTCGCTGCCGGCTCAGGAGCACCGTGACGAGGGGACGAGGACGCTCCGGTGCTGGAGACGGCGGGACTCCGGATCTGTCTCACGTGTGGACTCTCTGAGTCTTTGCACACGTCTCTGCGCGTGAACAGTTTGGACACGCAGAACAGCGACGGAGACGTCTTCTTCCCGTTCGGCTCCTCCTCCTTCTGTGGCTCCGGACCTCGGAGGTTCTGAACGTCCAGGCCGGGTGGTTTCTCTTTGTGCAGCTCGATCTCCTGAGGCTCCTCCTTCACCTTCACCTCCTCTGCAGCGCGCCTCCTCCTCTGCCGCTCCTCCTCCAGCTCCTCTGGAGCTGCAGGAAGCAGAGCCCAGAGTCTTAAAATCAAAYCCATGAATAAAAACCAGACTCTGCAGCCACCGGTTGTGTTTCTGACCTTCACCGCTCTCCATGGCCTCGATGAAGACCCCCCCACAGTGAGGCAGGACCCAGTACCGGCGCCGGTACCGGTCCTGTCCGTACATCATGGAGCGCAACGAGTGAGAGATCTCAAAGAGCTTCTTTCTGGTCTGATGGTGTTGCTGCAGAGACAGGAAACAAAAACACGGATTTACAAAATAAAATAAACTTTTTTTTCATCACCGTATTAATCACTGCATGCTACGCTAACGAGCTAACTCATTCAGCTAATTAACGCCTCATATCAGCTGATCTGTCATCTAAACTGTAGAGAACATCAAACAGCTGCAGTGATAAAACCGTTTATAACATTTTAAACAGAATGTTTTTCTGAACCTAAAACTGAGTTCTGAAATAAGCAAAACAGGAGCTAAGACGAGCAGAATGATAGCTAAAAGTGCTAGATAATAGCCAAAAGCTAAAACAGGTACAATGGTATCTAAAAGGAGCAAAAATGTTCCTAGTAATAGCAAACCGAAACAGAGATAAAAGAAACAAAATGGAAGCTAAAAGGATTAGAGTGCTAARTAAAATGAGCTAAACAAAAGCTAAAAGCCAAAAGGGGCAGAACTGTAACTAAAAGCTAAAAGGGGTTACATGGAAGCTAAAAATATGTTAGCTAAAAAGAGCAAAATGAAAATATCACAGCTTAAATTAAACAATAAAGGCATAAAACAGCTACTAAAAGCTAAAAGGAGCTAAATGTTGGCTAAAAGATAAAACATAATCAGTTACGTAAAGTTAAAAGAGCTAAATGTTAGCTAAAAGATGGAGTAAAACAGCTACTAAACACTAAAAGAGCTAAATGTTAGCTAAAAGATGGAGTAAAACAGCTACTAAAAGCTAAAAGAGCTAAATGTTAGCTAAAGATTGAGTAAAACAGCTACTAAAAGCTAAAAGAGCTAAATGTTAGCTAAAAGATAAAGCATAAATCAGTTACGTAAAGTTAAAAGAGCTAAATGTTAGCTAAAAGATGGAGTAAAACAGCTTACAAAAGCTAAAAGAGCTAAATGTTAGCTAAAAGATGGAGTAAAACAGCTACTAAAAGCTAAAAGAGCTAAATGTTAGCTAAACAGAGCCGTAAAACAGCTACTAAACGCTAAAAAAGCTAAATGTTAGCTAAAAGACAGAGCAGTAAAACAGCTACTAAAGCTAAGAGCTAAATGTTAGCTAAAAGATATAGCAGTAAAACAGTTACTAAAGCTAAAAGAGCTAAATGTTAGCTAAAAGATATAGCAGTAAAACAGCTACTAAAGCTAAAAGAGCTAAATGTTAGCTAAACACTGAAATCGTTTTGTAAATCTGTCTTCTGAAATCATTTATGCTAACGGTGGTTAGCGTCACACCTTGGCTAGTTTTTCGATCTGCTTCTCGAGCTCCTCGATGCTGGTGGCCTGGTCCACTTCGTCCTGCCGGGTCAGAACAAACAGAACTCATCTGTAGTGAAACGTCTCCTCTCGCCTCTTCAAAGCCCTTCGGTTTGGTTCTTACCTCGTCGAACGTTTCCACTTTTTTAACCTTTTTGATTTCCTCCTCCTCTTCGTCGTCGTCGTCCTCCGGGTCGTCGCTGTCGTCGTCGTCCTCGTCGTCGTCCTCGCTGTCCGGACCCAGCTTCCTCTTGCGTTTGGAGGCGGAGGACGGCGTTCCGACGGACTGGTTCTCCTCCCCGCCCATGCTGGCCTCCCGCTTCCCGGTGCGCTTGGCGTAAATGGTCCTCAGTCTGCGGGGACAGACGGGTTTATGTGACAGAAGACTGGATAAAAACAAGGTTTGAGGAGAAATCAAACCCACTTTTTCAGTTTTCCCTCCATGATGATCTTGTCCTTCCTCATGTTGGCCATCTGGTCCAGGTTCTTGTCGATCTCACTGCAACAGGAAACAAATCCACTAAACATGGGAGCGCAGGCTGGACCAGAACCAGAGGGTTCTTATGAAACGAGCCGGTCCTCTGACCTGATCACAGCTCGGCTGCAGGCCAGCTCGTTGGCCAGGAAGCCCAGGATGGAGGCCTTCTGGGCCGGCGTGTGGGCCTGGAAGGCCTTGGTCTTCAGGCTGAGGGCCAGCGGAGCCATGTCCGTGTTAGCGCAGTGAGCGCTCATGTACATCTGCAGCACCTCGGACACGTTGTCCCTGTTGATGCCCACGTTGGTCAGGTGGTCCCCCAGCATGGTCTTAGTCTGAAGAAAACAAGAACAAACTCTTTAAACGACAAAGCCTCCAAACTGACCCCAGATCAGCTATAAAGCTGAAAACAGCCGAAGAAGCTGAAACATTTAGACCAAAATCTGTAAAACTGATGCAGCTGAAGGTGAAAGAACTTCATTAATAATAATAATAATAAT